GTATGTCAACAAGATCTACTGAAGTGATAACCGAGAATGAGGGAAATAGAGAGTAGATAGTGAAGACAGGATAAATACCAGTGTATTTGAAGACTAACTGCAATGACAGAGAACATAGTTCATTCCATTAACCTTTCTTTTCTAAACTTAGCCTTAGGAAGAGGGGTTTACAGAAATCATGGAGAAGCTACATCATGAATATTGTTATGAACTGATTTATAGTCTCCAACTGCTATACTTTTGGATCCACCACTAAGTTTGCACCAGACTAAGCTTTTCCTGAACTGCTCTCAGACAATGACTAAGCATAGCAAAGATACTAGAACTAGGCCATTCCTGCCCAATTTGTAATTCCTCTAATGGATAACTTTGGCTTAGGACTCCCCATTGAGCTGGCTGAGATTCTCAGAATTACACTGAAACTGGGACTCTTTCTACTCACTCTTCTTTCTTTTTCTGCTTTTTCCTTTTTAAGCCTACATTCTAATCTGAGTCTTCCTGCCTTCTGCTCCTTCTCCTTTTATCCTTCATAGGCATTTTCTCTAATCAATTTCTTGCACATCTAACATTGTTTTGGCATCTGCTTCTCAGAAACCTGCAACTGACACACTGGGTGTTGTTTTCAAATTTCAGCAAAAGAAAATGACAGCCACAGGTGATTAGAATGATGTAAGAAAGATGCACATGGGAAAAGTTAGAACATAGCCCAATCTTTAGTTTCTAACAGACCTTTTTCAGGAGTCAAGAATGCTCTGGTTTTGTTCAGTCATTTTGAGATATACAGATCTCAAAAAATTTTTGCACCAAAATAAACTTGTACTAACTTTTTATAACATAGCTGAGCAGGATCTAGCTGAGGCCCTAGTAAAGATAAGACATCAGTTTAGACAGAGCCCCTGTCAAAGCAATATGAATCCTGCTAAAATTGAAACAAGAACAAAGATTAAATTTATGTTGAAGCTTGGGTGGAAGAATGGAGAAATCATAGATGTTTTACATAAAGTTTATAGAAACAGTGTCCCAAAGAAGTCATCAATTTACAAACGAATAAATCGTTTTAAGAAGGGATGAGACAACGTTGAAGATTAAGCTTGAAGCAGCAGACCATCCACATCAATTTGTAAGGAAAAAAACTCATCTTGTCCATGCCCTCTTGAAAAGTACCAATGATTAACTGCAGAAACAATATCTAACACCACAGACATCTCAATTGGTTCAGCTTACATAATTCTGACTGAAAAATTAAAGTTCAGCAAACTTTCCACCCCATGGTGCCAAAACTATTGGGCCCAGATCACCTGCATACAAAAGCAGAGCATTCAATGGAAATTTTAAATAAGACTGATCAAGATCTTGAAGCATTTCTTAGAAGAACTGCAACAGGAGATGAAACCTGGCTTTACCAGTACTATCCGAAAGACAAAACACAACCAAAGCAATGGTTACCAAAAGATGGAACTGGTACAGTCAAAGCAAAAGTAGATTGGTCAGAAGCAAAGAAATTTTTTTCTTTGGGATGCTCAGGGCATTTTTGCTTATTGAATTCCTGAGGGCCATAAAAACAACAACACTTGCTTATGATGAGAATGTTTTGAGAAAGTTAGCTAAAACTTTAGCAGAAAAATGCTCAGGAAAGCTTCACCAGAGAGTCCTTCACCACCACAACAATGCTTCTGATCATTCCTCATCAAACAAGGCAATATCCTGAGAGTTTTAATGGGAAATCATTAGGCATCCACCTCACAGTCCTGATTTGGTTTCTTCTGACTTCTTTTTGTTTTCTAGTCTTAAAAACATCTTTAAAGGGCACTCATTTTTCTTCAGCTAATAAGGTAAAAATGAGTGCATTGACATGGTTAAATTCACAGGACCCTTAGTTTTTCAGGGATGGACTAAATAACTGGCATTATCACTTACTAACGTTGTCTTGACCTTGATGGAGCTTATGTTGTGAGATAGTTTATATTTTTCATTTTTATCTCTTAATTCCATTTTCCATGAACTTTTTGAAGTCCCCTTATTCTTGAGAAACTTCTCCGAAAATATGTATGCATCTAAGAATAACTCTGATGGCCAGGTCAAGACCAATCTAATGCATGTTAACTTCAAGTTTTACGGTGGCTTTGATGGAATATTCAGGCATAGATTCTTCCATGGTAATTCTGAGGGAAATGCGTTGATGTGAAGAAATACAAAAATTTTTAAGAAGAGACAACACATATAGCAGTGTTACATCAGGTAACCAGAAAAATTCATTAATTGACAGAATTCAGGTAGAATGCTTTTAAAAAGAAGGAGTGGGTGCTAAGAGAAGTCTTTTTCAAGGGGGGTAACAAGGACCTGGAGGAGAGATACTTAATACAAAGGTGCTAGGATAAATCCAGAAGGAGAGAGCAATATTATCAAGCTATAAACTGGGTGACCTTGGGGAATGGCCTCAACATATTTTCTAATATAAAGTTTAACCCCAGGATATATACATTGTAATAAACTTGTTCCTTGAGGATGTCTTAAAATGAAGCTTACAGAGCCCAGATACTGGAGAGAAACAAAAATATCACAATCCTAAGGATATAGTTTTAGGAATATAACCTTAGAACCTCTTCTCCCTATATCTCTTGGGAATTGGGAAGGAAAAGATATCCATTAGGAGAAAACATAAGAGGCATCTTTGGGAGTATCTATTTTATCAAAGTCATTTACCATGTTAATTATTGCTAATTGACACAATCTTCTGAAAAATGATGGCAAACAGCCAGAGTAACATGCCCAGTGGTGAAATTCCACATTTTGGGTTTCCATGACTTGGATAATCTGGCCTCATCCTCCTATTCAACTTATTGTCTCCTCTCTCCAACATACCCTCCAAAATTGTCAGGTTAGTCTCTGCTTTTAAACACACCACATTGGTTCCTGTTTGGCTGCCTTTGTTTGGAAGGTCCACCTGCTCCTCCTGTTCAATTCTGCTCATCTTTCAAGTCCCATCCTTATTCTAGCTTTTACCCTGTGGGTTCGAATTATGGGACCCTTGCCATATGCATTACATAACTTGTTATTTTCAAAATATGTTCTCTTGTATCATGAATGTTTTAATATATTTATCTTCCTAACTAGACCATAAATTCCTTAAAATATTTGACTCATTTGGTAAATATTCATAATTGCAGAATTTTATTTTATTTTATTTTTTTTTATTTTTTTTTTTTTTTGAGACAGAGTCTCGCTTTGTTGTCCAGGCTAGAGTGAGTGCCGTGGCGTCAGCCTAGCTCACAGCAACCTCAAACTCCTGGGCTTGAGTGATCCTTCTGCCTCAGCCTCCCGAGTAGCTGGGACTACAGGCATGCGCCACCATGCCCGGCTAATTTTTTCTATATATATCAGTTGGCCAATTAATTTCTTTCTATTTATAGTAGAGACGGGGTCTCGCTCTTGCTCAGGCTGGTTTTGAACTCCTGACCTTGAGCAATCCGCCCGCCTCGGCCTCCCAAGAGCTAGGATTACAGGCGTGAGCCACAGCGCCCGGCCAATTGCAGAATTTTAAAACTGTGATTCTTGATGCTGAAACTGATGTGTAGACTGTCACTGTGCTAGCCACCCATACTGAGTACTGAAGCTAATGAGAGTATAATAAAATTGAATGTTTACTATGTACCCTGTATCATTTTAAGTCTCTTACATATATTAACTTATTTAATTCATGACAGAGGCATCATTCCTCATGGCTTTCTTTCTCTCACATCTCATATCTAAACTATCCAATTCTATTGGCTCTATAGAGCTGGAATCCACAGCTCTATAGAATCCTCCTCTCTCACCAAATTGATCATCCTGGTTCTAAGATCCATGCTTGCTCTCTTGGTTTATTGCAATAGCTTCCTAATTGATGCATTCTCAATACTGTACATCATAATCCTTTAAGTCATAGTTCTTTTCATAAGCCTGTATGGCCTACAAGACTGCAAATGATTTCCCCCTTTTTCCATTACCTTAAACTCATCTCCCCTTACTCTCTGCCTTACTTACTCTGCTCCAGCTAAGTTGATCCTGCATGATCTTCCACAAACACACAAAGCACTTAGAACTGTAGATTGGTTTCTTCTTCTGCCTGGAGCACACCCTCAGTTGTATACCCAGCTAATTCTCTTCAAATCAGCTCAACCCTCCTTTGTCAGTAAGACCTATATTGACACTGTTTAATTCTGCAATTTTCCCCTCCACCTCTCCCGATTCCCCTTGATCTTTTTTCTTTTTCCATAGCACTTCTCACTCTTTAACATACTATATACATTTTAAACTGTATATTGTCTGCCTTCCCCATTACCACTTAAGCTCCATGAAGGGAGTGGTCTTTGTTTTATCACGGTTGTATCCCAAGACACTAAAACAGTGGCTGGTACATGAAAAGCACTCAAAAAATACTTGGTGAATGAACTTAGAAGCTAGATTTTCCTTCTGCAAGGTCACTGCTTTTTGGTTATGAACCTCAATAGGCCTCCCAGCTTCTGTATTTGACAGAGGGCCAAAACCACAAAAGGCCTGGAGGTCAGGAGGCTAGCCCCAAATTTAAAAGTTGTCACAGCCTCTGAGGGGCTCCCGGGTTTGGAGGACGCAGGAGGTATAAATTAAAAAGCTAAAGTGTACAGTTAGTTTCTAGTGATGGGTGAAGGAAGCAGGGCAAGCTTTCTCCCCCTTTGCACATCCACAAATGTGTCAATTTGCAGTTTATATGACTTTGAGCCTCCTCTTACCAAAATAAATCCAGCGCCACCAGGACTGGGCTCTGTGACAGGGCCTTGCCCTTCCCCTGGCAGCTTCAGTGCCCTCACTTAGGTGGTTAGGCCGTGCCTAAACATCATTCTTTTCTGGGCCGCGATGTCCCTGCTACAGGAACAAGGCACCAATGTGTCGTAGCCTCTGCGCTCAGGTGACCCGCAGTGAGCCACAGGGGCCACAACACAAGTCCACGGACAGGCGGCGGAGCGAACACCCAGGTAAGGCCCTCCGGCGCGTCATGCGAGCGGCGGCGGCGGCAGCGACGAGCTCCTGGCTCCCGCCCGCGCCCGCCGCACGCACGCGCACTGCGCCCAGCATGAGGGTCGCGGCTCTGATCAGGTAACTCGGCGCCAGAGCTGCCTCCCTCCTCCCTGGCCAGCGTCTCGTCCCTTCCTGCCACCGCTGGCGCCAAAAGGGAGAGTGTCTTTGCCGGAGCCGAGAGTTGGGGGCCGGCACCTCCTCAGAGCCACAGGAAGAGGCGGAGCCTTCAGGCTGTTGCCCGGTCCGCTAGTCTCCCGGTCCTGGGCTTGCGCTCCTCCTCCTCTTCTCTGTCAGTGGCGGCTTTTCTGGTCTTCCGGCCTTCAAATTGGGATTCTCATTGGATTCACTTGGGGAACTTCAAAAAAGTACGGACTCCTGGGTCCCCCTGACAGAGGCGGTGGTTTAATTACTCCGGTGCAGCCTGGCCTCTCATTTTTGAAAGCTCTAACGGGGCATGAAGTTTGAGAGCCACTCCGTGACTCCACTTCCTCAGTTAATAACCCTCGCTCCGTCCTGTAGTGTAGTTCCCTTCAGTCAACTGGGTCCTGGGTGTCTTGCCTTCCTCCCTAGCTGTCATCTGTCCCTCTCCCTCCTCAGAAGGCCACCCCTCTGTCATCTGTCCCGTGTGTGGCTCAGCAAGACTGATGTGGATTGCTTATGGCATCCGTGTGTTTCTGCTTTAGGACTAAAGTACATAGACGAAATCTCTTATCTCGTGGTGGAGACGGAATTGAACTAATCTTATGCTAGCTCTAGTTGCCTTGGCTTCGGACTCTCCTTATTGCTTTAGAGTGACCTTTTGGTAAAATACTCCTTATTCCAAAAGGAGTTTGAAATCTGTGGTAACCCAGTCCTATTTAGGTGTCTAAATAAGTGCTGTGACTGACAAGCCCCAAACAGGCCAGTTTAAACATTTTCATACTCAATCTAGAAACTAAGGCAAAAGGGAAGGGAACGCTAGCAACATTAAAAAGATACCGTAGACTACTTAAATATTTGTTACATGATCCATGGAACCGTGTAGAGTGTCTGAGATCCATTGCGACGATGCGTTTACTTTTGTAATCCCGTTGAAGATTCCATAAACGTTTTAATTCAATACCCTCGGTAATTGATACTAGCTGACAGTATTGATCTATTAAGGATTATTGATATGACATTCCAAACCCTTCTGCAGTGTGTGGAACATTCCATTTGTTTCTATTTCAATGTCATTTTTAGGAGACTGGACAATAATGTCATAGTAATTATTGTTATTCAGTAAATTTCCTCTGTAAAGTGAATGATTAAGCTTTAACCATTGTGGTTTTCATTTAGTCTAGATAGATAAGAATTAGAAGTAGCCCAGGAAATGAGTAATTCACATTCACATTGAGTCTGCCAAAAGTTTAACGATTGAAGTAATGCACACTATCTGAAGATTTAGAAGTGTAGGAGGGGAGGAGAAAAGAAGATTGGTGCAGTCCATTACACTAAATACTCTATAATGTGCATATACTACTTTTATAATAAAAAATTAATTTACAAAAAGCAATGTTGGAAAATTCTTGCTAAACTGTAAGAGCTGTATAAATGTTAGGAGATAAGCTGTATGAAACATAAGAATACATATATATGTGCTGTGATATATATGTCTATATATTATGTATTATATATAATCATGTATTTTATACACACACACACACACATATATATATACATGCATATACATTTAAACCTGAACATAGTGAATGTATTTGCTATTTGTGTGTCTGCATCAGTGAGAGATGGGATATGTGTGTTTTAGGGAACAAGTGAAACTGAGGTTCTTAAATATCTTTAAAACATAAGAGCATTGTTTTCCAAATAAATAAACGAGTGAGTCATTGCATTTTATAGTTGAATGACACCTTGAGGATTGTCTAGACAGGCCTTTCTCTAGTTTTATAATGAAGTGTGTAAACTCAAGCACATTGAATAACTTAGTTTAGTATCCCAGGGTTGGGAACTAAAACCCTAATCTTCTGTAGGACCTCTCACCTAATATATACTTATGTACTTAGTGAAGTTCTTAAGAGGAGAGTAGGGTACTCAGCATTTCCTAAGCTTGTTTGACTTTGAAAACCTTTTGTCCTTAGTGTAGTCGGTTAACATTTTGTTGGACACTAGTGTTCCACAGAACATAATTTGGGAAATACTACTTTAAAACCATATTTGAAATATTGGCATATTTTAAAATGCACTATAAGGATGTTCTGATCCTGGATGGATGCCTTTCAATCTTTAATATTCAAAAGAATTAGTCAAATCTTTCTTGTTCTGGGAAAGTAGAGTAATGAGGTTCAATAGGGGAAGTTGTGAAAGATACTTAGAAGAGAAAGGGAGCATGGGTTTTTATAATTCACTTTGCCGCTTGCACTCTCCTTTCCCAAGAGAAGTTCTGGAATGAGAGTTGTTACTGATGGGAAGGTGGTAAAGGCAGGTGAATGTGGAGAACTAAAATTAAAGGCAAAAAGGTCCAGCTTCTGGAATCAGCAGTTTCTTTTAGTTTTCTGGGCTATGAATAGGTCTAAACTAAATATTGCCTAGGGTTACATTTGCAGATTTTAAGCAAAGGTCAGGAAGAAGGGAAACAGGAAGAAAAATAAAAAGGAGAAAAAAATAGAGAGGCAATAATATTAATAAATGAGAAGAGAAAGATGTATAGTGGGAAGGAGTAGAATATTAAACCAAAATAGCATATAGATTGCCACTCAACCTTTTTATAGATGAGGTGCCTCTTGCCTTGATTAAGTGATATGCTTCTGCCTTAGGTTGATTTGGAATCAAAATGTAGAAGTTCCTTTCAGTATGTTACTAGATTTACAGCCCAAGTCTTACTCTGCTGCCATCATATATATATGATGTGTGTATGTGTCTGTGTCTGTGTGTATGTAAGGTATATACAGTGATGGCTGATTGTACTGATATTTAACATCATCAGTGTAATTCAACATTTTGCTTTTTATCTCTACAGAATTTGAAACCCCCAGGCATGTCAAACTTTGACATTAGATTGGAACTCAAATCTTTAATTTGATCGTTTAATTGCTGATGGTAACCAGTTGTTAGATTCCTTCTAGTGGAACAGAATAGATGTTTTTCTACTTTTTCATAAAAAAAAATTCATCTAAGGAGCATATATAAGAAGTGTTTAGCTGAGATATAAATTTAAATCAGTTTTTATTTGCAAAGCACTTTGTATGTTAAGTAAAGCCACTGTCACAAACCAGAGTTTACTAGAATTGTTTTGTTCTTTGTTATAATGGCATATAATTTCTTAAGTTCTTATGAGTAGCATACTGAGACATGAAGATTTGTTTACTCAGTTTTCTTATGATTTAGAATTTAATTTATTTAATTTTAATCTTAATTTTTTTATATATTTTTTTTAGAGACAGAACCTCAGTCTGTCATCCAGGCTGGAGTGCAGTTGTGCAATCATAGCTCACTGTAATCTCTAATTCCTGGGCTCAAGTTATCCCCCTGCCTCAGCTTCCCTAGTAGCTAGGGCTACAGACACATGCCACCACATCCAGCCTGATTTTTTCGCATTCTGATTGTGAAACAGTCCTCATATATTCTGAAAAGCTGAGTAAATAATGTATTCTATTTTGATATCTAGTGATTCTATGTTGAATAATAGTCAGTGGCGTGATATTTATCTATTTATCAATTTATTTTTTAGTGGTGGAAAGGACAGCTGTTATAATATGATGCAGTGCATTGCTGCTGGGCATCAGATTGTTGCTTTAGCAAATCTAAGACCAGCTGAAAACCAAGGTAAGTGTATGTCTTTATTGGGAAGTTGCCTAAATGGCTGAAACTCCAACTTCATATTAAATAATTATATTCTATTATATTCAGTATGCAAAGATAAAAAAGAACCAATATATATTTAGCACCTCTTAGATGCTATGTTCTTCATAGAAGTTAGTGTTAAGTGTTTTTACTTAATATATCTTCTAATTTTCATAACTCCTAAAGAAGGGCATTGTTAATCTTACTTTTAATAGACAGGGATACTGAAGCTCAGAGTTTTTGTGTTTGTTCAAAGTGAAAGGGCTAGCACAAACTTGCAGAGTTGAGACTTGAATCCTCCTACTTCGGAGCTGCCATTCCATCAAACCACATCTCTAAGTGTTGCAGGCAGTATTGAGGTACGTAAGATATAGTCTCATGCCTCTAGGAGCTTGGGAAGTAAGACATATTAATATAATGATAAATGATACATGAATTTTATCATCAACAGGATGCAGTTCACTTATCCTAGATATAAGCCAAAAATGTGAGACTTGTGAGAAGCACAAAACAATACATTGCTACTTTTCATATCTCTGTGGTGATAAGGGCACCCACATATAATCTACAGACTTCACTTTGAGTATTTTTTTCATTTTTTATCCTAATGAAATTCCTCAATCAGAACTTAAATATATATATATTTTTTTCACCAATTTGCTTTTTTGCTCTTTTGTTATACCTATAAAACTGAAGATATTAACTGCTAAAATGTAAGAGGGAACAACGATTAGCACTTGTCCTAACTTTATGTATTACTCCTTCTCACATGAATCTTCTAGAAAGATCTTTTTATCATCTCCTTTACTTCTTTCCAGGCTCCATGCTTTTGTACTACTTTTATTTTAAATGAATTAAATGAATAATAATATGTGAAAACATTAATCATAGTTCCTGGTATGAATAGGCATCCTATAAATTAAGTTGAATTAGAATCTAGCAGCACTTTTCTCTCTTCCCTCTCTTCCTCTCTTCCTTGTTTTTCTTCCTTCATTCCTTCCTCAAGGCTACCAGTCTACTGTATTTTTAGTTTTATATCATTTTAAAATGTTTTTCTATTTATTTTATCTTTGTTTTATGCCCCTAAATAGATAGATTATAGGCTTCTTGAGAGAAGAAGTCATATCTGCTGTCTTCCTTTAATTGCTCCTCAGTACTTGGGGCAGCTCTATGCCTATGGTAGGAGTTCACTCAAAGTTTATTGGTGGACAGATGTGTAATGAACTAACTTGAATTAGCCCTGGAATAGTGAGCAGTAATTTCAGTCAGATATTTGAATTTTCTTTCATTTTCTGCTTAAGAGCCACGTAATGCTGGAAGTGATGTGGAAAGATAGAGGTTAGAAGTGTGTTATGGGAGAAAAGAATCAGATCCTGTAGAGAGTCAGAGGTAAATGAATGTGCTAGGATTTTGTGCTGCAATTCTGATAATCAGTAATAGCTGTTTCTTCAGGAGGAAAGAATTTTAGAAAATGATCTTCTAGTTCTGGCTTTAAATACAAAATGGAAAACTCCTGTTTGTTTGTTTTTTGCTTTTTGGTTTTTTTTTTTTTTTTGAGACAGAGCCTCACTCTGTTACCCAGGGTAGAGTACAGTGGCATCATCACAGCTCACCACAGCCTCAAACTTCTGGGCTCAAGCAATCCTCCTGCCTCAGCCTCCCGAATAGCTAGGACTACAAGAGAGAGCAACCACACCTGGCTAATTTTTCTATTTTTGGTAGAGGATAATTTTTTTTTTTTAATTTGGTAGAGATGGAGTCTCATTCTCACTCTCAGGCTGGTCTCAAACTCCTGACCTCAAGCCATCCTTCTGCCTTGGCCTCCCAGAGTGTTAGGGTTACAGGCGTGGGCTACCACTGGGTCTGGAAAACTCTTTAAGGGTGCATGGGAACTGTATTGTAACTTCTATATTATAAAAGGAGAAGTAAATTCTCCTTTCAGGCTTACCACAGGAAAGAAACTCCCTTATTCCTTGTGGCAAGTCAGGCAAGTGGGACTTTCAAGCTTTCTATCTTGAGAAGTCTTAGTATTTAAAAGATGTTTGTATAATATATAATGCCTATATGCTATATTATAATTTCCCTCCCTGGAGTTTCTATCTTGTCTCTAGCTTTTCTACTGAAGTATAATAATAATTAATTATTATACTTACCTTGTATGGAATCATTAATATATACTTTTCCTTATGTTCTTGGTTCACCAGCAGAGTGGTAAAATGACAAGCAAAGTGTATCTTTAAATTATATTTCTCAGTGGAATTGAGACATTTATTTAGAATATTTTTAGTGGGAAAAAATGTAATAGTAAATAGAAATAGAATATTATGAAATAAAACGTGGGGGAAAAGTAGCTGAAACTATAGTGATTGTTGTAGAAGAGAATAGATAGCTGTGGGTTGGTAGATTGAGAAGGTTTAATCTTGATTTAAAGTCTGCAGGAAGTTGAGGATTAATGAATGATTCATTGAGTGACTTCTTTTCCCCTTAAACATATTGTAAAAGGAAACTTAATGGAGAATGACTGGTAGAGATGACTCCAATGTAGACCAAAGTTGGTTAGAGTGAATTTGGGACACTAGATTTTCAGTGGGTAGTCTGGAAAGGAAATTATTCCCATCAATGGGTATAATGTGAGCATGCCATAAAATCCACAAAACCATCTGTTTTAATTTGTAATAGGAACTTTTGTGGCATGTTAATTGACATGCTCCAGGCAACAGTGGAGCCTTTTGGTTTATTTGGTCTCACACCATTGTTACTATGTAGCTTCCATTAATAAAAGTTACATTGTGGTTAGGACTGAATGGAGCCTTAAAGGAAAATTATCGTCTAAGGTTTTTGAAGCCAGTAAAGTGTTTTGTTAATAATTATTATGCTAACATCAGGATGTTTCTTGCTAAGAAGCCCAAATTTCTTTAAATATATTGCTTAGATTGTATCAGTATCCTTTAAAACTAATACACTTAAAGATCTTGTCAAACTTCGAGATGAGCGAAGGCTGATGCTTTTTAGGTAACGTTGGCTATGTGTCTACTTCCTTCCTATGGGGACCAGGAGTAGAGAGAGTTATAATAATAATATAAGTACCATTCTGAAGGAAGTCATTCTGTTGTGTGGGTTTAGAAACCCGATGAGATAAAACGGGGCTGGCATATGTTGATGATTTTGATTGTTGAAAGGGCATTTATACTATCATTTTTCATTCCTTTTGATAGGGTATTTTCACATTCAGTGGAAAACTTGGACCTGTTTGGCATATATACATACATACACACATAGGTATATGTCAAATTATTTTGTAAACTTTTTCAAAAATAACATATTATGAACATTTTCCATGTCACTAAGTATCATTCTACAATAGAATTTCCCATATGTCTTTTTTGGAACACAAATACCCCCATGAAATGTAAGTGTCCTGTGGATAGATAAGTTTGAGAGGTAGTTCACACTCTCTCACCTTGTTTGAGTACTTGAAAGCATATTAGCCTAGGAAAAATTGCAGCAAAGACACCCTTTAACATTGTTTATCCCCATGTTTTATAAACTTAGTTGACATGGAGTTGTTTTTTCATCCCATACCTATTAATAACATATGAGATTTGTATTCCCATAATAAAAGAACATACTTTAGGAAATGCTTTTCTTCAAAATAATATTAAGGGCTGTATAATATTCTATTATATGCATATACATTAATTTTTAATCATTATGAATGTTATGAATATAATCTTTGCAAATAATCTTTGTGTATATTCATGATTCTTTTTCCAAAAAGTAATGTGTTCAAAAAATATATTTCAGTATATTTATAAGTTGATTTATATCACCAAAGGGTGTATGACTCATCTGTTTTGAATATTTTACCTATGTTGATATTTGTGGAATCTTATGACAACCAGTGATAAGTTTTGTTTCTATACACGTCTGTAACTGCTCTACCATTATTGAATTTATATGTTCATATATTTGTTGAAGCGTTGAATATAAAATGTACCAAAGCATCTAAATATTTTTCTTACAAATATTTGTCATGTATTAACTATGTAGATGTTTAGGTAAGAAAGATTTTTTTCCTAGAAGTCTAGATGACTTCCTGAGTAACCTTGAATAATCTGAAAAAAAATTTATGTAATAAAATTCTTTAATTGAATGATCAAACTGTATTGGATATATTATTCTGCTCTTTAAATGTTTGTTTTTAAAAATTTATATATAACTGTATTTTGTAATTATCAATGGAGATAATTAGTATGGATATGAAGTAGATGCAACTACAGACAAATAATGTGCAATTCTTATATTTTATTTCACTACATAAGTGCAGAGAAATGTATTAATAGTATAGTAAGCTTTTAAATTCAATGCTGACTACTCTTCAAGCAGAAAAACCTAGATGGGCTTTGAAATCAACTTTCTTTTTCATTCTGTTTTACTGATTATTTCCACTTTAATTGTTGCAGTGGGGTCTGATGAGCTGGATAGCTACATGTATCAGACAGTGGGTCATCATGCCATTGACTTGTATGCAGAAGCGATGGCTCTTCCCCTCTATCGCCGAACCATAAGAGGAAGGAGCTTGGATATAGGACGAGTGTACACCAAATGTGATGGTGATGAGGTTGAAGATCTCTATGAGCTTTTGAAACTTGTTAAGGTATGCAGAGTAACCTATTACATATATTTAATTTAGTGTGTAATTTAGTAAATTGCATTTACTGAGTTATTTAGTAATAGATAATTTATATCTATTAGTAAGCCAACTATTCTTTAAAAGGATATTTTGTCTTTTTGGGGTAGGAAAACCTTAAAATTCTTAATATTTCTTCATATTAAATGGTATTTAAACATAAGACTTTTGTTATGTTTTGGCATCCAGGATTATCAAGTGATATTAAACTGAGTTTTCTTTTCCTTGGGATATTGGAGCTGATGCTCATTCAATCATTTTTTTTAACAAATACTTTTTGAGTGCTTACTGTGTGTTTGGCACATGCTGCTAGGCACTGGGGATAGGGCTATGAACAAATGAGACAAAGATCTATTCTAATGGAGCTCACTTTTTAGTGGAAGAGGACAGATAATAAACATAAATAATATGCTTGATAATCAAGAGTACTAAGTGGAAGAATGAAGCAGAGTCGAGGTGAATAGCACATGATGTTGGCAAAGGGTGGCTATGGACGTGGTGCTATGTATAGCGGTCATATAAGACCTTTCTCATATGGTGAGGATTAAGTAGATAGATCTAAAGAAAGCGAGAGACAAAGTGAGCCTTGCTAAAATCTGGTGGAAGAGGTATGAATTAAATACTTAAGTAACTGTATATAAGAGTTTGGCAGTCATTATGCACTCATTGTTAATTTTTCTAGACAGAAAATTTAGGAGAGAAAGTGCGGGGCTCATATATCTAATTGGTACTATAATTAGTAAATGTTAATTAATAGATATTATTTTTTATTGAGCAATTATCTCTTCATTCTTATTGACAGTCAGTTATTTGAATAACTCTTCTTCTTCAGTATGAATTTTTATCCAGTCAGCTACCGTCAATTCACACATAAGGTGTATCTGATGAAATAAGGAATTTAAACCAGTATTTCCTGGATGTCTTAGCATTTTTTCACAAGGAAAAGTAGGAAGATGTCTGTTCCTTCCTCTATGAAGGGAAATGCATTTCATTTTTTCACTCTTTAAAGAAGTTCAGCTTTTTCAGAAGTTGTGTAGTGAACATGTGTCATGAAAATTTCTAGTCTCAAATATTGCTTCAATACTATATTTTAAATTTGATACATATCAAAGCTTAATATTAATTAAGGATTTTGATTCAAAAATATATAAAGCACTTAAATTCTTTTAAAGTTTGCTTTATTAAAATTGTTCCTATTTTGTATGTGAGAACATTTTCATTTTTATTTTAAAAAGAAACTGGTACAAAAAGCCCTTAGAGTAGTTCCATAATTTACTGTTTAGTTATTTGTAGCATAAGAAGTAGATATTTTTCAAAGGAAGTCACAGGAACCTGGTTTCTTTCTCTGAGAAGACACATGCTAATAAACATTTTGATTATCAACCAAGGAGAAGGCTTAAAAGAGTTTCACTTTTAATGGTTGTCTCTCCGTAAAGGTACAGTTATGATCTTGACGGTGTTCACTTTGAAGTGTGAAATACTCAGGGCAAATCCTACATTTTCAAAATTTCTTTTTTAGGATACAAAGAAATTGGACAGTAAGTTTTTTAATATAAACCAATATTACAAAATGGTGAGATTCACACTAGAAGTAATCGAGTTGCTTAAAAAATCACAAACTTGATAACTTTGGAGAAGCTCTGTGATAATAATAGTCTTCCAAGAGAGGGGAAGATAATAAATTACTAATCAATTTAATTAAAAATGGACAGATTAGTAGTAATTAAGAAGAAATTTCCTTTTCGATCCATGCTGTCTTGGGAGAAATGGATGGTTTGCCATTATCTTTATAGTAACCGTCAGTTATGACATAAATTAATTCTAATGTTAAATCTTGACAACTTCTGCTTTGGAAGTTCATACATGATAATTATAACTATAGTTGAAAGAGATGTTATAAAGTTATCTGGGGCTAAGTAGTTCCTTCTTTTCCTGTGTAGAAATATTAATTTTAATATAGGATATTCTAAGCATATAAATATCAGAAATTTATTGCTTTTATGGAAGAGATTGTATAACTATGCTTTTATAGTTAAATCCATTTATGAAACACTGCTACAAAGATTCCAATGGAGGTCTTACATATTTTAATGAGTAATTGAGTAATTATGGAAAAAACGATCTAGAAAAGCTGTAATTTTTCAAGTTAGTCTTCACTTGCTCTAAGAAAAAGAACTGCATTTTTAAATTCTTTGAATATTAATGTAGTGTTGAAAGCACTTATATTTATTTTCATTTTAAACATTTATTTATAACAGATTACTGTTTTGTGATTTTCACATGTAACTCAGTCTTTTGTTTTTGTAGCTTCTCCCCCCCAAATATTAGAACTAATTTTTGAGTAGATGTTCCTTTTTGCAGAGAGTTCAATTTACTCATTGTGGAAAAGAAATAGGAAAGACTTAGAAGAACTTACAGAATTATAAGGTTCCTTTTGTAAAAATCATGAAAACTTATAGAAATATAATAAGCCTTTATTCTTATAGATTAGGAGGCAACTATGACAACTGAGATAAATATCTCAAGCAGTTTAAGTAACATAATCAATGTACTACTTACTGAAAGATACATATAAGCACCATATCTAAATAGAAAATATTTTTAAGGATCAACATATTCTTTATTTCTCTACTGGATTGGAGCTACTTTTAATGAATCTTATGTCCTCCTCTTTTCTTGGTTTAGTCTCTCCTTTCAGTGAAATCTATCTTTAATAGACTGTCTTAGAGAGAATACTTTCAAATTCTTACATTTTGAAAATGTTCTTATTCTTTTCACACATTTTATTGATATTGGTTGAATTTAAAACACTGAAAGTAATTTTTTCTCAAATCGTTGAAAATGTTGCTCCGTGGTCCTCCAGCCTTTTGCTGATGCTGATATGATTTTTGTTCATTTTTTTAGGTGACTTGTTTTTCCTCTGTGTTAACTTCTTTTTTTCTCCATTATTTCATTAAACTTTTTTCTTTTTTATTATAAAATATTATAGGGGCACAAATATTTTTGGTTACATGGATCACTTTTGTAATGTTTAAGTCAGAGCTATAAGTGTGCCCATCACCCAGATAGTGTTCATTGTACCCATTAGGTAGGTTTTCGCCCATCCTTTTCTCCCCCCACCCCCGTTTGATTTCCACTGAGTTTTACTTCCCTCTGTGCACATGTGTGCTTAACGATTAGCTCCAATTTAATAGTGAGTACATGTGGTGTTTGTTTTTCTATTCTTTAGATACTTCACATAGGATAATGGTCTTCAGTTTCATCCAAATTGTTGCAAAAGACATTAATTTGTCCTTTACTTTTAGTGCTTTGAGGATTCTCCATATTAGTTTTCATAGAAGTTCTAATTTGCAGTCCCACTGACAGTGTATGAGTGTTCCTTTCTCTCTGCATCCACACCAGATCTTTTGTTTTTAGACTTTTTAATAAAAGCCATTCTAGCAGTGGTAAGGTGATACCTCATTGTGGTTTTAATTTGCATTTCCTTGGTGATTAGTGATATTGAGCATTTTTTCATGTGTATTGGCCATTGTACACAAATCAGTATCATTCCTATATACCAATAACCGTCAAGCTGAAAGTCAAATCAAAGACTCAATACCATTCACAATAGCTACAAAGAAAATAAAATACCTAGAAATATACTTACCCAAGAAGGTGAAAGATCTCTACAAAGAGAACTATGAAAGCATTGAGTAAAGAAATCGCAGATGACACAAACAAATGGAAAAACATATCATGCTCATAGATTGGTAGAATCAACATTTTTAAAATGTCCATGTTGCCTAAAGTGATTTATAGACTCAATGCAATCCCCATCAAAATACCAATGTCAATATCGCTCAGACCTAGAAAAAATAAATCTGTGCTTCATTTGAAACCAAAAAGGAGGCCAAATAGCCAAAGCAATCTTAAGCAAAAAGAATAAATCTGGAGGTATCACATTACCAGACTACAAACTATACTACAAAGCTGTAGTAACCCAAACAGCATGATATTGGCACAGAAATAGACACTAAGACCAGTGGAGCAGAATGGAGAACCCAGATATAAAACCATGCTCATATAGCCAACTGATCTTTGACAAAGCAGACAATAATATACACTGGGGAAAAGAAGCCCTAGTCAATAATTGGTGCTAGAAAAATTGGATAGCCACACACAGAAAATGAAACAGGATCCATATATCTCACTACTCAACAACAATTAATTCAAGATGGATAAAAGACTTAAATGTAAGGCATGAAACCATAAGAATTCTAGAAGAAAATGTAGGAAAAACTCTTCTAGATATTGGCCTGGTCAAAGAATTTATGACTAAGACTCCAATGGCAATCACAGCAACAACAAAAATAAATAAATGGATTTTATTAAAGTAAAAAGCTTCTGCACAGCTGAGGAAATAATCAACGGATCAAATAGGCAACCTCGAGAATGGGAGGAAATATTTGCAAGCTATACATCTGATAAAGAGCTAAAAACCAGACTCTACAAAGCACTCAAGCAAATCAGCAAGAAGAAAATAAAGAACCCCATTAAAAAGTGGATAATAGACATAAAGAGAAGCCTTTCTATTAACTTTTATGATTGTGGCTTTATGCTTGGTGTACTGAAATGTCACAGTAATGCTGTATTGAATGTTGAAGGCTGCTTCTCCTGCATCCCTTCCACAACTCCGTATTGAGTAGCAAAACTCCTCTTTCTGTCATTGATGGTTCAGGGATAAACATGTAATCCAGGTGAAAGCCAGTCACAACATGACATTCTTCTGGCTGTAGTGATTGGATCAGAGATGGTTTTATTAACCTATATTGGTCCTAATGTTTTGAATTATGGGTGGTTGGCAGAAGAGAAGCTCTTTCTCCTTCTGTGCAAAGAGATGTGTGGATATAAGACCTAAAACTGCTGTAACCTCCCCTCCCCCCCCCTTTTTTTTCCCTGAGGAAAAAACCTTGATGTCCAATCTG